CAGGTTTAGCTCCTATGAAAACAATTAGTTGCACGGTGGCTAAATTAAACAGCCTCTCTTTTTGTTTGAGAGCAGACCACTTTTGACCAGAAGAGGCGCGTTATTAGCTTCTAATTGAAAGAAATATCGAACTCTGAAATATCTAACCCAGACTTACACCGAGCTCTGGGGTGTTTGATCCAGAGTAGCTACACTGAAGCATCTTACTCTGAAGTATCTAACTCACCTTTGATCTAACTCTGAAGTATCAAGAGTTAAATCTAACTCTAAACTATTGTATCCAACTCCGATGTATCTAACTCCGGATTAGACCTAATTCTAAAGTAGCTTTCTCTAAATAATCTTACTCTGAAGTGGCTAATGCTACGTTCACACCTAAAGCAGCAGAAGCAGCTGGTTTACATGCAAAGTCAACGGTTGATGCGCATCATGGTGCAGCAAAAGGTCTCACAGGGCGTTTTAAGCAGCAGGAGCAGCGACTCACAAGCCTCTGAGCATCTGCGGCTCGGGACACGCTGCAAAGGCAGCAGGTGCTGGAGTTCAAAAAAATTGAACTTTTGCTGCTGGACGCGCCACATCAACCAATCAGGGGAGCTGATCTGGGAGCTGGCAGGGAGACAGACACAGCACTGCTGATGCAGAGCGCTATGATCACTCCTCTGAAACAATTTATTAACTCCTAGCATTTAACATTTATTAAAGTACCTGCCGGTAAAATATGTTAGATTTCATTATCCTTGTGCCTGCAGTTTGGATTACGTAGGTGAAAAACGCCTTCCAGCCGCCGTGAACAGCAGCAGAAAACCGTGAATAGGTGACCAGGACAGAGGCTGCTGTTGAACTGGGTTCCTAGTGATAGCGCACCGCCTACGTACACAGGTCCGAGCGGCTCAGACACCAAAATAATATTTGAAGGCAGGATGGTAAACTGGATGAACTGACTGCACAGATGAAGTTTTCAGGTGTTACCATGGCGGCGCTCCAAGGCAGCTGCCAAGAGTAGCTCCTCTCGACAATTTAACAAAATATGCCACTTAAAACCATACAAATTAGACATCAAACCTGCATCTATGATCGCCAATGCCTGCTGGAGCTATGGTCACAAAATGTTTTAAATAATGACAGTTTTGACCGTTTTTAAAAGCTGCATAAGAACAAAATGGCTGAAAATAATGGATGGAGAAAGAGATTCGTGAGACGGAGAAAGCGCGGCTGCAGAGGGGGGCTAACTGTGTAGCTAAAGAGAAATCCCCACAGACCACCGCTTCCATCAATCCTGCTCTCCAACATCCGTTGGAAAAAAAAAATGGATCGTCTCCGACTGGAACCGTCTTCAGAAACGGAGCTATGTAACTGCTGCGCCATCATTCTGACGGGTCTTGGCTGCATCCAGCAGTAACGGACGGTGCTGTTGGCCTGGGGGGGCTGATGCTATACCGCACCGACAGAGCTCTGCTTGAATGGAGGCTCCTCTGAGATTGTTCACAGGCAATATTCAGCATCTAGAGGGGAAGCACTGCCCTCTGCAGGTGAAAATGAGGACAGCACCCTAAATGCTTCCCTGCCAAATGCTGAAACATCGCCAGCCGGCTCCTCCCGGCCCCCTCCGGCTTCCACACCTTCTCCAGCATCGTCTGTCGCTGCTAAACCTGCTGATGGCACCTCTGCTGCTTCAACCACGTCTACTTCTTCAGCCCAGGAGGCTACCACCCTCATAGCATCGTCATCATCGTCCTCTTCCTCCCCTGAGCCAGGAGAAGCGAGTGCTTCAGGAGCTGGAGGCAGTAGTAGCAGCTCAACAACAACTGCTGATTAACTTATCAAGGCTGCACTATAGAGAGCTGCTCTAAAGGAAATTAATTTTTCTTGTGTATACAGAATGACTAAATAAATCTAAGTCTAAGGTGGACTTTTTAATTTAAAAACATATTAAAACTACTTTTTACCCACTGATCACAGCAAATATAGCTGCCATTGTTACAGGCAAAGAAAGGATAGAGTAGCTCCGCACAACATGCATCATACCCACTGCCCCGCCGTGCAGCTACAGCAGCTAAGATGCTTCAGCCACGTGTCAAAACTAAACTTGTAAAAGCATCAAAAATGAAGCAGCACGCTCTGCTCTTGCTGCTTGCAGTGTGAACATAGCATAACTCAGAGTTAGATCTAAATCTGAAGTAGTTCACTCTGAATTGGTTAACTTGGATTTAGATTGAACTATGTTGTATCTAACCCCCAGGTTTCGATTCAGTCTGTGCTGCACGCATCTTCCACGAGCTGATGAAACGTCTGGGCTTCCAGCAGTTCTATGCCCATGGAGGAGACTGGGGTTGGCTGGTCACCACTAACATGGCTCAACTGGAGCCCAAGTAGGAGCCAACATCCCCCTTTGATCTTCCTTAAAGCAGATTCATTTTCTTTTCTGATCCAGACTCAACTTCTTATCTCCCCCTAGAATTGTGAAAGGTTTGCACCTGAACTTTGCCCCACCCCCCAAGCCGGGGCTGCTCGTGGTTCTGTCCATCATTCTTGGCCGCCACTTCCCAAAACTTTTTGGATTCACTGACATGGATGTTGAGCGACTCTTTCCTTGCATGAAGAAACTGGTGGTTGAATCCATCAAAGAGTCCGGCTACATGCACATCCAGGCCACCAAACCAGACACAGTGGGTGAGAACTGACAGGAAATCCTTCTTATTTCATGGATCTTCAGCTTTTTCTAAAATGTTCCTGTTTTTAATGAAACCTACCTTAGATCTGTGCTTTTAAATAACTTTAAAGTGGCAGTAATTGTTATGTTTCTGCCTCCTGCCAGGCCGGGCGCTGAACGATTCTCCAGTCGGTCTGGCTGCTTACATCCTGGAGAAGTTTTCTACATGGACGGATCATGACTTCAGGAACCTGGAAGATGGAGGACTCACCAGGTTAGGAGGGAGATGTTTTTTCCTGAGGGTGCATGACATGTTTTCATCCAATACCTCTCACTACTAAACAAACACAGCCTTGTTTTATACTTGAACATGTGCAGAAAGTTTTGGTGATGCAATGCAGCATCCTGCAGCCACAGTGATAATAGAAAGGTGGACCGAACAAGAAATGCATGCATCAGTAATTACATTAATAATGTAATTGCCGCATTGAAAGTACTTTTTATGCTTACATCATCAAATAATACTAAACTATATTTTATACAAAATATTTAACATCTTTTCCTAGAGGATTCTATGTGTTTTACATTCTGTCGTGTTTGTCTAATGTCATCATCGGACATGATCAGAGCAGTCCGGCAAAACACGATTACACCCTGTTTATCTGCATTTTATTTGACTTTCCTTAGATTATGTAATATAAATCCCATTATTGTCCCACAATGGAGAAATTCACTCTCTGCAGTTTAACCCCTCCCCTTGGGGAGCAGTGGGCTGCCATTGTGTGGCACCCGGGAGCAGTGTGGGGTTAAGGGTCTTGCTCAGGGACCGAGAGTGCAGGCTGCAGGGATCAACGGAGTACTTGCTCAAATTCCAAAAAAACCACAAAAAAACCCCCACAATCCCTTGAACTTGTTTCCAAGTTTGAAGACATTTTGCTTCCCATCCAGGAAGTTGCAATTCAAAATATCAGAATTAGCTTTGAGTTTAAAGATTTATATAACAGCCCAAAAACTTATTTTGGCTTAGAAATCATGCAAATTGAACCAGAGGAACGGTTCCACCCTTTGGGAATGGGGAGTTGTTTTGTGTTCTTAGTTAACCTGCAATACCTGATACTGGTCTATGCCTCTGAAAGGGGGACGTTAGGAGGAATTGCAACTGGAAGTAGGGTAGGATCCTATTCTGGGATAGATCGGGCACATATGAGTAGGGTTGTCACGATACTAAACTTTTCAACTCGATACCGATACTAAGTAAAATATTCGATACTCAATGTCATTTTCGA